TCTATTAGTCAGACGTGTCATAAAGAATATTCTTTTGATTCCATTTAGATATATAGCTTCAAACTTTTTCCATAAAGTTTGTTTATTATCTTTGAAATAAAGTAAAGAAAAACCCATCATCTTCTTATCCATTACATATGAATTTATAGAAACATTATTATTATTATCAGAAAAAAATGCTTTAAACTATTGATTCTGAACTTTTAATACACATCAATAGTAATAATTAATTTGATAATTTGAAAACATCAAGGGCTATTTATTTGTGCATATTTTTTTGCTGCTGTAATAAGATTATTAGATACCTGTATAAATAAATTTTAATTATCACAATAGTTTTTTATCTGAAAATTTGAATAAAAAAAATACCTGTAAATTTTCACGTAATATTTTAGACTAAATTCTTTTATAGTAATGGATAATATTTATTATTTTTTCCATCTATTTCTCTTTTATTTTTTTCTATTAAATATAAAAAACTTTCCAAAATTTCATTTTATTATTTCTTTTCTTTTTTTACTAATTTCTTAATTTTCATGAATTGAAATTACTTCTGATATAAAAATCATATTTTTGGTGATATGGTAATATTCAGTAAATTATTTTGATATAATTTTCTGATTTACCTAAATTGTTAGTAGTACACATTTAAAATTCTAACTAAAAATATAATAATATCAGAAAATTCAAGTTACTGTATATTTTATAAATGCAAAAAAAATATATAATAAAATTAGAAAATTCATGTTATACTTTATAAACGTGAAATTAACATAATAAACACACTTGAAATATTTTTTTTGAAAAAGACATTATATTAGTATATCCTACTATTTTCATCATTAACTTTTAAATACAAATTTACAAATTCTAAACTTATAATCAGGTAGGTATATTGATTTCAAAGTTATTGTGAGTTTAATAATATTACTTTTTTGATTTAACTATCTAATAAAAACTAATGTTACAGGAAATATGATATTTCTATTCTTCTTTTGAGATATTTTTGAAATATTAGTATTATAATATCTAAATCTGCTTATTGCTTAAAATTATATAAAGAAATTTGTAACAGTTGTTTTATTGCATATTTTTATAGCTGAATCTATTAGATTAAATAATATCATTAGATTCTTATCACGACAAACATGTAATTTTCCATACTTCTTCAGAAAATATTCTTCCTTTAAGATATTACATCTACAGTGAACTCTTGATATAACGAATTTTAGAATCTGAATATCAACTTCATTATAAGCTTATAACGATTTTTTAAAGAATTTAATTAGCTAGTTCACTATAGTAAGGTAATTTTAATATATTTGATTTAAAAATTCACTATATCAAGGGTTCGCTATATCAAGGTTTGACTGTATATATATAAATGCTAATATTATCTTCATTAATAGTTTATACTATTAAACACTATTCATAGTTATTTATGACTAATACTAGAAATATATTCAGATCTAGCATAATTAAGAATTTCATTATCTAAAACTCCTATATAGATAATAAAAATTGGAATATTATTGTAATTTATTTAAATTAGTTGAAATAGAATCTCAGATAATAATTGTTCTATAATTTTATTTTTTTCTAGATCAAGAATATCTAACCTGAAATATCTTGTTTAATTCTAAAAACATTTTTATAAGTATTATTAATTGCTGCAGAAATATTAGAGTATATTTAAGGATTTGATTCAATTTCAGATATAAATTCAGGCTCTATTCTATTATTATCTTATGTAATTATACATAATATAAACTGTTTTTATTTATTTTTACAAACATATGATAATTAATATGCCAAGAAAGAAAAATATATTTTTTTGAATAAAGGTCTATTAGTTTAACATAAAATGCTAATAATAAAGTGTTCCTATGATATTTCTAACTATTAAAATTTATTTACAGTGAACTCTTGATATAACGAATTCTAGGATCTGGATATCAACTTCGTTATAAACTTATAACAAACTTTTTAAAGAATTTAATTGGCTAGTTCATTATAGTAAGGTAATTTTAATATATTTGATTTAAAAATTCGCTATATCAAGGGTTCACTATATCAAAGTTTGACTGTATTATGATTATTATTAGTCATAGTTGAGTTTATATATGTTTGAACTATTCTAAAAATTGAGATTTTAAAGTTGTTATCATTTATTATAGATGCTTATCCCTAAATTTTATTATCAGTATTAATCATTTGATTCCCATTTATTGGCAAATCAGCAATTAAGTATTAAAAAGATTTTATAACTATTAAAATAACTAAATATGCTATTATTTTACATAATTAAATAATGATAGTTTAGAAGATTTAAAAGATATAATAATGATTATGATAAAAGTGTTTATGATAATGATGAGAATGATGATAATGAAAAAATTATATCAAATCTAAATTAAATAGCATTAAAAAAAAAGATGAAAGAAAAAGAGAATAATTAATATAAAATAATTATAAATATTATAAGAATATTATATGAATATTATACAAACATTATATAAATTTTATGTAAATATTACATAAACGTGATCTATAAATATTTTATAAAAATTTTTATTAAATTTTATCTTTTAAATTATTATTATTTTGATCAAATTTAAATTCTATTTTCTTTTTTTAATTCAAATTCCATCTTTTGTTTCCTTTCTTTCAAATTTACATTTTTGTTTTTTTATCTCTAATTTATTTATTTCAATAGCATGATTTTTTTCTATTTTTTCTTTTTCTAATTCAATTTTTTATTCTATACTTTTTTTCTAGTTTCATTTATAGTAGAAATTATAGCAGTTATAGAATTTACGTTATTTTTTTTTGATTTTTTAGGTAAATTACATTCATTTTTCAAAGATTTTTACTTTTTATTATTGATAAACCTATTTACTATAAAATAAGATGATATATTTTGTGAGTATTAAACAAAATATTCATTTTTTTTATATCATTCCTAATCTTTTCTTTCTACATCAGATCTTTCAATATATTTATTAATTTCTGTATAAGTTTTAATTATTTTTGTTAACTTACTTTTAATAGTATGAGATTCTTTATTTTTAATACATTTGTAAATATTTCATTATAGAGAATGAAACTAGCCTAAAAATCCTTAACCAATTAATAATTAATTAAAAAATTCTTTAATTGATTAATTAACCAGTTAAATTTAACTCAAGTCAGTATTATAAATTTGGGCAAAATTAGCAAAATTTTGTAATTGTAAAAAAATTTTAATTCTACCTGAAAATTAAATTTCAGCAGAATTAATATTAGTTATTTAACTGATGTTAACCCTAGAATAGTACCAATATCAAAATATTGAATAATATATGCAATGCAATATTCTGAAATCCTTTATCCTAAGAATATATCACTAATAACTTTTATTTTACAATTCAATTTTGTGTAATTGGTTATCACAAGCAGAGCCTATATGAAGACAAGAGAAAAGTTGAAAGCGTAAAGATAATTTTTTATTATTTGAAAATCTATAATTCTATCATTAAGACTTTTTAATGATTGGACTATATTTTCTATAAACAATTTTTCAATATATATATATTAAATTATAAATTACACATTTTTGCAATAATAAATTATATAGATAATATAAACAATATAAATGCTAAAGATAAAATAAACTAAAGAAAATAAAAAATTATAAAAAATTAACTAAAACTCAAATGTTGTATATTTGATATAATTGCCATATATGCTATGTATGTTATTCACCACATTAACTGCAGTATAATTTTAGCTGCAGTATTGATCATTAGATATTTTTTAAATTAATACTGGTTAAAAAAATCTTTAACTGGTTAACAAGATAAATATCTTAACTGGTTAATTAAATGATTAAAAATTAACTAGTTCTAACCTCTATTTCATTAATATTTTTATTTTAATTTCTTTTTTATACTCATCAAAATTGTTAGTAATAAATTAAATTAAAAGATCAATTTCATGATCTTTTCAAGTATAATTTGATTCATTTAAAGAATTTATTTTTTGTTTAATACTAACTTTTTTTTATTAGAAATCTTTGTAACTTTCTAAATATATTTAAAATTAAATTATTATTAAATAATCTTTTAATTTAATAAAAAAAAAAAATATTATTTATACTTACTTCTAATTCTTCTTTAAAAATATCAAATTTTTCTTTTTCTTAAGTTAAATCTGTACTTTGTAAATTGGCAGATTTTTTCTCAATATCAATAGAATTGACTATGAAAGTATCTTTTAAAAATTGATTATAATCATTATATGAATAATTAGAAGCAGCAAAATTTTGATAAAAAAAGTTTCATTTTATTCTTATTTAAAAGAGCCAGTAGAATACTGCTTGGGTTTTTATTTGAGAAAGTATTTGAGATATCTCTTAAAGTACTATATGAAAAAATGCATTAAATACATGTTATATGTCTCCTTAATTATCAGCTAAAGGATTTAACAATTCAATCAAATATGATTATTGAATTTGATTAATTGTAATGATTAACCATTGATTCCAATTTTATTGATCAAAAATTGGATATAACCTGTTCAAAAAAGCCCACTCGGATAAGTGATAAAATTTACATCATAAAATTAACTTTAATTATATCATGGTAAATTATGTTTGTATTTTCACTTTTTCAGTAATCATCTATAGTAACAACGAATTTTCTTATAACGAGGGTCTGATCGTCCCGGGCGTCAACTTCGTTACGTTATATTGATCTTCATGATTTCCCAATACATGAAATTCCGTTTTGTAATAAACAATTATAATAGAACCATTATTTATTGACTTTTTGCTATTAATGAGACATATGATAAATCATATGTAATCGTAATGTTTTATTATGGCTAACGTTAATTTTAAATATAATAGCGAGAAAATAATAAATAAAATATATATTTGTTCCAATGAAAGAAAGTAAAAATCCATATATAACAAACACATAAAAGATTCGTCACATTTGTTCTTACTTATATTAATTTATCTATCTCTCTATCTTTTTAACACCAACAGGATCACTCCAATATTCCCTATCAACATATTCCTCATTCTCCTGTTCTTTTCTCTTCTTTCTCCTTTTATCCCGTTTTTCTTTCTCAAGTTTTTTTCCCACATCTGACATATCACATCCTTTTTCAATTATTTCTTCAGATCGTTCAGGTTCACATTTGGGTGGTCCATAAAACACTTTGGTATTATATGAACGAGAACTTGACATAATTGTTGAAGCTAATGTTACTTCTTCATTTAACTACGTATTTCAATATATTAGTTTAACGTGTTTGGGAGAAAATGCATACAAGATTTTCTTGTGCCAAAGGGCTACCTTAAACATAGATGCTCTATGAATAACTTTTCCTTGAGTACCACATTGCACATTCCTGAATAAGGGAACAACAGAATTAATCCGATAGAGATTTAGAGACATTTATTATTAAAAAAATTTTTTTTTTTTTTTTTTTTTTGAATAAATCTGCCTTTTTATATATCCAGTATATGTCTATAATGAAACGTCATGATTTATTGGAATTAAGTAAAGTGCGAGAGCAATCGTTCACTCATTATTAATACGAATCCAATACTATTTTTTCTGCTAGCTACTTTGAGTAAAGCTCAAATATTAACGCATGAAAACGATTATTTGTAAAAAATAAATTACGATTTGTTTACAAGTCGGCAAAAAAAGGACAAAAAAATTTATTTATAAATGTATTATTTCCCTTCTACACGTGTTAGATGAGTATCTCATCCAACCATACTTCTCTTTCGTCCCCGTAATCTAACTGTAAAAGATTGATCTGGATTAATAAATGTTTAAATTAAATTTTATTTGTTAGGACCCTTTATTTACCCTCAGCTAATTTAGACAGCACCCATTGTGAAGCATTATAAGTTTTCTGATAATTATCCAAAATCTCAGTAAACTACATACAAAATTCAAGTAAATAGTTGAAACTATAATCATTTTTAAAAATATTAACATTATTATTTTATTTAAATAACTTACCATTTCTTCAGAATTAGGATGAGTGCTCAAAAAAGCTCTCTCAAGTACATACAAGTCAACAGCTTTATCCTCAGGCAATGATGATATGTAACTCAATCCAAAATCAATAACCACCTGTAAAGAATCAGTATAATCATTAAAAAGATACAATTTAACATAAATACTTTTTTTTTATTTGAAAATTTTTTACCAGAGATTGATTGGATTCTCTCAGCATTAAGTTGGACGTGGTCAAATCTCCGTGAATAATATCAATTTCATGAACTTTTGCCAAAGCAATACCAATCTTTTTTGCTAATTCATCTTTTTTTTTTAAAAGAAAATTAGTTGAATTATCATAAATTGTTATTTTATTGTGAATTTAATACCTTGTTTTCCTTTATTTTGAATGTATTCACTATTCGTGACAAGTAAATCTTTGACGATCGTTCCTCGAACAAACTCCATATAAATCGTGCTATCTTCTGTATCCACAAAATATAATGCTGGTGCGTCAACTCCTGATTTACGACATTTGAACAAACATCGAGCTTCCTATACAAAAAAAAAATTCATCATTCGAAAAGGTAAATCATTTACAACATTTAAAAGATAAAACTTATCAACCTGATTTACTCTTCTTGCTGTTAACTTCTTGTCAAGAATAGGATGTCGATAAGCTTTCGAAAACCTTTCTTTAACTATGGCAGTTCGTGTCAAAAATGGTGCCGTATGTATTCGCTGTTTATAGGTTAAATTAATTAATTTAATAACCAAATAACCAATTTAATTTAATAAAACATTAATATTTACGGCTTCGGCTCCTTGTTTTATTAATGTAGCGTTCTCTATCATTATAAAAATTTAATTTATTTAATTTATTGGGAAAAAAGTTTAAATAATTTATTAGTTTTTTTTATTGTGGCTTAGATACATAGAATTCTTTATATAGCTAAAACCGATTCTTTAATTCGTTCCACGTGATTACCTAAGGTCTGAATTATTAACTTTTAAATTTTTGAGTTTCAAACCAACCACCAAAGGTTCATAATTAAAAAAAAAGTATCCACTTATTTTTTTCATTCAGGTTTCCAAATAAAATTTAATCATTATTATACGTGTCATAGATAACTCTTAAATAATTTGACTATTTAAATAATCTATTCGCAAAAAGTGAAAATTACTCCAAAAACAAAATTATTTAAAAGTTACAGTTTTATTAAATGAAGATTATACTTAAAAAAAAGATTGATTCATTTGATTAAGAATAACTGTTTTTTTATTAAAATTATTTGGTTTTAGAAAAGTTACATTTTGTTAACCTTCAATGCCTTTTCCCACTAAGAGTTTGGATATTTTCGAATAAACATTTTTCCTACAGTAACTACAAGTGATTTCTTTTATAAAGAGAATAAATGTATTAATATGCTTGTAAAAAATATTTGTATAAATCTTAGAGAAAATTAAGTCATTGAAAAAAAAATTTGATAAAAGCAAAATAAAATAAACAAGAAAAAAAATTTGATAAAAGTCGGAGCTGGTAGGAAGAAAGATAAACATAATAAAATCAAGATAGACTACTACCGCTCGGCAAGAACAATAATGAAGCATCAGCTTTTGGCTGGAAATCATTCGCTGCCTAGCGAAGCAGTTTCTCACTCTCAACTTTCTTAAAAAAAAAGAAAGGAACGCGAGCAAGTTACATAGCTTCCGCTCATTCACGGATAAACGTTTAGACAGTAGAAAAATAAATTTTACAAGATATACTAGCAAGTTTTTACACTTACAAATAATATGACTCTCGCAATGGAAACAGTAAAAGAAGATAAAAATAACTTCAAGTTGTGAGAAAGTTCAAGGTATATATATCTTTTTGCGACATATGACGCGTGATGTTTATAATTGTCGATCAAAATATAGATAACGCGTTAAAAAAATAATCAAGTTGTCGCGTGTAAATTTGCGTAGATTTTCGTAAGAATGATACGAAAAAGTGTGAAGATGATGAGTAGGTGGACATGATATTTACTCAAGTCATGTGATGAATAAGATTAACCGGCCAAAATTATAATAATGCGGGCTGGAAGTGATATATGTAACTTGAGTACGCTTCACTCCACTCCCACGTGTTACGAAAAGCCTTATCATGTAATATTTATAATAATTGACGGAACGGAAAAATGATTATACGACCTTCACAAGCTCCCCCTTCTTTTTATTATCATTAATTTATTATTATTATTATTAATGTAAAGAATGTATTATAAAAGTATTACCTAGCATATAATTTTTTTTAATTATTTTTTTTTCTCTTTTTTTTTTTTTTTAATATTAATAAGTAAAATAAATTTAATATTACTAAAGAGTCTTTGTATGTATATCAAATTAAAAATTAAATCTTATGTTGAAGTAATGAACGATCTTTCTAAGTCTACTATAAAAGAATTAAAATATTCGTAATAAAAGAATATTAATATCAACACCAAAATTCACACCGATAAGAAATACATATTATATTTCGGTTGATTATTGTTTACCTTCATATTGATAATCGTTAATTGGAGGTAATCTTCTGCTCGCATAATCATTCTCTCTACGATAGGTGTTCTCTCCTTCATCACTAATTTCATATATTTCATCAGCATACATATATTCCAATGTATCTCGGTTTGCTTCAAAATCCTTCCAATTATAAGCAGGATCCGAATTTCTAGAATCTCTAGAACTTCTAGAGTTTTTACGTCCAGCGCGTCTTTTAAATAAATTTCTTATTAATGCGAATGATAACGGACTTTCATTATTTACTGGGACAACCATTTCCGGTGCTAATATATTTTCATTAGTTTGTATTGGGAATGGTAACGGAATATCCTTTATGGCACGACCTTGTTCACAGTTACTAATATGCTATTACAAAGAAAAAAAAATAAACGATTTTTTATTTCCTGAGCTAACGTCAAAAAAAAAAAAAAAAAAAAAATCTTCAACTTACTTCGTGTTCGACACGGAAAAAATTCCATTGCCATCGACTAAAATTAATTTATGTGTTATATCAATACGACAATTTAATCAAGATTGAAGGGCATGCAAACATAGGAAATCCTTACCGGAACATTTCACAAAAAGCGACTATAAGAGAAATTTTAAAACGTAAATGAGCTTGGTTTATTGTCGCCATAATAATTATCCAACCAAATCTTAAAAAGAAGTTTGAGATAATAGCATAATAATATAGCCAACGTTTTTTATATCCCAATTCATTTCTTAATAAATAATTTACGCTATTGCGTTGTAATAGGTTCCAATCCATTTTAATATCCCAAAAGTAAGTATACAAAGAGGAAAAAATTTGAAAGATCACCCATAAAATTAATAAATTATTGCCACCTAAAAGAAAAAAAAATTCATTAAACATGAAAAGGATTATTATTATTATTATTATTATTATTTTAATAATTACCTTGTTCACCTTGTTCACCTTTATCATTTTTACGGTATTCAAAGGCTAACCATATGGGAACAATGGTTGACAAATATTTGCCCATGTTTATAAAATGGGTTTTTTGAGACGTGTCTCTATAACGTTTCCAACTTTGAAGAAAACGGAAAGTCGCGGGAATCGAACCAAGTATAGGTGTATATATGATATCTGTGCTACAAATATTGCGTCCACTAACTATTTACATTAACTTATTAGATTTAAGATTTAATTTTAAACTAAAAAGAGCGAATAATTTGAAGAATACTTGCAGTGACCACATCCAAAAAGCTGTATCATGGTCATTGAATATGCTAAGCTATTTAACTCATCAGCAATAAAGAAATCCCTGAATTCTACACGCAGTATTCCACTTCCAAATAAACGTACCTATTCATAAAAAATTAAGATGAAATAAGAAATTATTTCGTAAAAATTGTATGCTGTTTATTAGGAAAAAAAAAGTGTTTGTGGAATGTTACCAAAGAAATGATAAACCATCGTCGGGCATTGTAATAGAATATGTGAAAGGGATTAAAAACAATAGCGCAAATAAAAGAGAACAGGATTATAGGATAAAACTGTGGTATAAGAGGTTTAAGAGTTGAACCAAATTGATAATTAAGGAACATAATACTACTCATGCTCAAAAAAGCTATAGATGGAAGCTACATAAAAAGTTATGAAAGAAACAATATTAATTTATAAACGAATCTCATTAAAAATAATAATTGACAATAAAAAACCTCAAGGTATTGACGGTAATCCAAATTATCTCTCGGATTCAATTCGAAAATAAATTTATAATTTATACGATATCGTATCCATATATACATATTAACGCCTAATAAAAGCATGAGTATCATTGGTAGAGCAATTGCAGTGTAAAGTTTTAGATCTATCCTGGCCGCGAATAAGTCAGCATCATCTTTATCAGGTTCGTCAAAAGATTTTTTCTCCTTTTCAATCTCAATCGAATAATAGATCAAACCAGGTATCGACAATCCTAAGCATAGACCAATACGTAATACAGAAGAATAATATGTCTGTATTTCAAGAGAAAAACAATAATTTTTAATTTGAAAAAAAATAAATGAATAAATAAATAATAAATCATTTTTTACCTTATGTCTGTTATTTGGTATTCGCAATTTTCGAATTGCTTGAGCGTTTGAACCATCTTCAAAGTTTTTCACATAAAATTCTTCGACATCTTTAAGAAGCTTGCTTGTAACGCGTGACTTAACGAAACGAAATTTTTCCACTTTTGGGATATATATTTTGGATCCATTTCGCTCAGATATCTTAAATAAAATCATAGATAATGTTTGCGATATTCAAGTTAAAATAAAATAAAAAAAATACATTCCTTCTCTCTCTCTTTTTTTTTACCTTGTCGTATTTTTTTAATATTTTAACAAAGCCGGTATGATTTAAATTTGTATAATTTTTCAATAATTCAACTCCTCTATAAAACTCAAATACTGCGTTCTTTATCCTTTTCTTTGCAGTTTTATAATCGATTAATTGCTCTTCCGACGTTGAACTCCTTGGATCCATTTCCGGAGTGAAATATTCGAGGCTTTGTTTGACAATACTTTTCGATGTATTCCAGGCTTCTGCATGAAACTTTTTTTAACAAATAAAAAATTAACAAATACGAGATGCAAAGTAAATACTGCGCCACACCAATCATATCACTTACGTTTTTTTGTTTCTCGTCTTTCTTGCTCATTAGTATTTCATATTGTTGTATCAACAAGTCAAAGCGTTTTAACGCTTCCTTTTCCTTTGCTAAAGAGAATGAATGTTTAAGTGAGCCACACACATTAAGACTATATTTATCTGTTACAGTATATTTATAACTTACTTTCATAAAAGTGATTAATCTTCTCCAATTCTTTATCCAAAGCAATAAAAAACAACCGTTCTTCAGGTTCAATCTCGAACATTAACGTTTCCAAAGATGATATATTATGAGCTGGAATCAAAATTGCGTAAAGGCGTAAAGGGAAAAGGTCAAATGAAAGAATTATTAAATGTATAGAATTCAAAGTATGTATTTGACATTAATAATACATACGCGGATGAGAATTACTTTTTTGTGATGTAACTAAAGCAGAAGAAACTTTATGAAAGAAATCATGTACGCTATCGGATAAACTATTGACAGTGAAGGTTCTCGATTGAATAGAGCTTCTTTTGCTTTTGTCATTGTTTGCAGTCAATACCTTCTCGTAATTTGTAGAAAGTGAATCAACATTTTTCTCTTTAATTGACGGAAATTTCTTAATGTCAATTTCATTTTCATTATTATTTCTAAGTTTATGATTTTGAGATGATCGTGGAGGAACTTCTACAAACACGTTATTACGTTGATTACTGCCTATGGTGTTAAATTTACTTGGCATAGACTCTTTCTCTCTAGCAATTTTTGCATTATAGACAACCCTGAGACACCTTTTTAAGGCTTTATAATCTATATATCTAAAGGGATTAACATTTAAAGAATTTGAGCAAGAACAATTCATAACGATTGCTGTAAAAAAAGAGAATTAGAAACACGCGCGAATATTTACTTTACCCTCCACTCTGGAGCAATTTCAGTTTGGAGACGTTTGTCAAATTTCATCTTACTTTTTTGTCAATATTTTCTGCAAGTATTTAAAATGCTCAATTAATTTTTTTAAAGAATTGATCAAGCCTTTATATCATTTTATTTATTTTATTTTTGATGGATTGATTCACTACGCCAGAAAAACAGAGATCAACATCTTATAAAAAGATAATAAAAAAAGACAGACCGAATTTCGGTTATTTCCATATCTGGAATGCATTTTTTAGGATCGACAATTTTATTCTCACGTGCATTTCCAAGTTAACACAGTTAACAGTAAACAATGCGTATAATTCGAATCCGTGCCGGTAAATATTAATGACCTTTCGCGAATTTTTTTTTTTTTTTTTATTCCACTTGATTAAGTTAGGATCGTAAACGATTCGATCATCATAGAATAATATTAGTCACAGAAATTCGTCAATCACGATAATTTCTTCCTATATAAATGTACACACATCACATAATATTATTAGTAAATCATTTGGTTTTCTATTTAATTCCTTCAAAGCTTTTTAAAAACGTAAAATAAAAATTTCAATATAAACTTAAATAATTATTTATAACCCACTTGTCACGCGATCTAATTTAATAAATTTTTTTATGGTTATTTCATGTGTTTGATGTTTCTTTCGGACGGATTTATTTCTTTAAATATAACGTTTTCCGCAACTGTGGTAATATAAGGTAAATTCGTCACGCATAAGGGTACCATCATGATTTAAAATTGCAGAATATCATTTCATGTCTCATACTCCCTTTTATTAATCTACAAACGATCTTCAAATAAACACATGAATTAAAAATTCACCATATTAAGAAAATCCCTGAAAATACTGAAACCTCAATTAGGTTAAAGCATGGTAAAGTGAGAACAAAAGATTTCAAAGATCATTTCTTAAAAAGAAAAAAAAAATAAAAAGGAAATTTCAATAATGTAATAGATGTAAATTAAATGAATTCTGGGTGTTTAAATTGAGGATTGACCCCCTTTTTGTCGAAACATATGGTTCAGGAATTTATCGATATTTTTTTTTTTACATATGTCGAAGATGATTATGATATAATGTAGTAACTATAATGGACATTTTAAACGTGCGTGTAACTGCAATCAATATGAAGTGGAACATTCATCATTTTTTATAATATGATAAATATGAGATGGTGAAAATTATTATAACGTTAAGGAGTTCGGCAAAACATTCACGAACCTGGAAGTTTCGAGAATTCATGCTATATTTCATCTACTTACTCCTCATTATTTCGATAATTATGTAATTAACCGCATCTCCAAGGTCACTTTGTAGTCTCCTTTGACGATAATAAAATAATTGAAAAATATTTTATTAATTAGTCTGGAGCGAATTGAAGGACTAAAAATATACTTCTACCAACGGTTTCCGAAACCTTTCCCTAGTAAGGTACATCACTTAGCTGATTTCCAAATGAATTTCTTTAATGTTTCTCTCCACTGCGGTATATTAAATATGGGGTAAAATTATTAAAAATTAATTTCCCGTTATATTTTTAGTCAAAAACTTGGTGACACAGCTTACGCATTGATCATTATCGTAAGTAAAGGTTTCTGAGGGTATATTATTCCTGATTGGGAAATCGTGAGACAATAGAAATGGTCATTCCCCTTATGGTCCGGCATAACTTTAATGTGTGACAGGTTACGCCGGATATAATACTTTAAATTACATTTTTGGACATGATCGACAAATGATCGTCACATGCGCCACAGACAACTTTTTACCTTTTCAAAACCAAACCTTAATAAACTTATATTTAGACTTAAAAATAATATATGTAAATGTATTTTTGCTCGTTCTGCAAGTTTACTTAGAGCGGCGGGTTGGGTTTTTGCAGTATAATCGGTGTAACCTGTCACACATTAGAGGTGTGCTATGGTCCGATCTACTGCTCTGTCAGGAAAAAATATCCTTCTGATATTATTTCCTAGTCTTCAGAGCAAGTAGTCAGATTATCTAATCGTTCGTGAAGAACGATACTGACGTCCACCCCCCCCCATCCTAACGAATGCAGTTCCTTTAAATAAGAAATTTTTCATTTTCTTTTCCTCTTTATTTACTGCGGTAAACGTGTTTGGATATATGACACGGATTTAATTTTTTGATTTAGGCAAGGTCAATGCAAGTAATCAGCGATGATTAATTGCATTTGGTTGATTAATTAACAATCAAAAAATTAAATATAAAAAATTAACACTAATAAAAATGTTACTATTGTGATTTTATAAATTAAATAAAAATAATTTTCTATTTTAACTCACCCGAAGAACTTTTTTTTAAAAAAAAATTGTTATTTTTTTTCGTAGCAAAAGAATAAAAATCGATAAAATTTCTAAAAATATATATATATACTGTATATATAATTTTTTTTTTCTCGCGAGTTTCAATTAGTCAAGCCATTTCAAGTTGTAATAATCATATGATTTATAATGATACGATGCTTCAGTGACAGTAGATCGAATGGAACTAGAACTAAAAAAAATGAAGAAGAGAATTCATTACATCAGAGTGTCGAAATGTATCATCGGCAAACACATAAGGTGAGTTTAAAGCATTTATGAATTATTATAAAAAACATCATTGCCAATGCCTTAACGAAAATTTTATTATGCCAGGATAAAAATCGAAGGGATGCGCAACGTAGATGTGAGAGGATACTATCACTAACGAAATGCTTAGTGCGAATTAACAGCTTTGAAGCGAAACTCTTTCAAAAACGGAAAAAAAAATTACAGTTGTAACGAATCCGGCGATGAAAAAAGTTATGAAATAGTAACAAAATTAAGAAGTTCAGAACAAATTTTTCTGATCCATCTACATCTAGCTCCGAAATGATTTTTGATCTTCAAAGCTAACTTGCATCTATGGTATAGAGTATAAATGCACCTTTCAGAAAATTTACAAAAGATTGAAATGATAAGAACAAAATTTGCACAAGTGTGAGCAACTATTGGTTATATGAGATCAGGTGGTATGCATTATCCGTCATCCATATTTTTATTAGTAAATTCACAATGCCATATCACATCCTTCGACCTGCTAACAATGTATGTAAAGACAGACAGACATACATAGCTCTTCTAAGAGAAATTCAAATTTCTAAAAAATAACCTAAATATATTTAAAAATGGTAAAAATCTAACATAGCGTTAGCTTTCCTAAGTCATTTCTTAGGCGTCGACCGCAACACTTTGAGTGTATGACGCATTGCACTAGTGTGATGCATTTATGCGGTGGATACTGGAAAAAAAGAACTCGCTAGTTTATAATGGTAATTCACGCATATAAAAATCAAGTTTCGAAATCTAATTACTATAATTCAAAGTAAATAGAATATTAAATTTTTCATCCAAAGCTACAAATTGGGTTTGTTTAATTCAATTTCGGGATGTTTTCTTTTTTGGAAGTGAGATTAGCTTTTTTTCTCTCTGTTCTCGTACAGAGGGTTACTTGCACTGGTCTTCTAGATAAGTTAAAACTTTCCACTTTTAAAGAGATTGATGTTAGTTTCTTTATTTTGTAATTAGGGAAATAACCTAAAACGAAACTTACACTTTGAGGAGGAACCTTCATAGACGTATGAAATGAGTGCCTTTTTCATTAGTTTACGATTGAGTGATGTCTCGAGGAGGAAGTATGTTGCCCACGAAGGTGAGCAAGACAATAAGTGGCTGATTGTTTAACAATATCCTATTAACAATAATATCATGAAAAACTTAATTATATACTGCTTTAGATAAATATGTAAGTAACACTTACTTGTGCATGAAGGAGTACTTCCAAAGCATTATTAATAACACAAAAATCATGCCTATCTCTAGGCAAGTAGAATACACCCAGTTGGATCATTCAATATAGCGCATCATATCGAAGATCCATAATGTAGAAAGTACATTTAGGACCTATAGTGACAGTGGAATTTATTGTTAAACCATTGAAAGTTTTTAACCATTTAAAGCAATAATGGATTACTTGCCTTCAACTAATATTCCACAAACAATCACATTATCACTAATACCATCATCAATGATTTTATCAATGCTCTCTTTTAGTTCATTAGCGAGCTTTACAAGGTCATTCAATGTATCTTTATTTGGTCGTGCATGATCTGTAGGATTGATTTCAAGTACAAGCAAATTCTCTTTTATTTGATTCATGGAGACGTGCACTTCAAAATCAGGTTTCTTTCCTTTTAATGAAGGATCAAACTTCTTTTTACGACGTGCAGATGAATCTAGAGTTTCATTTGCCCTAATGAGAAAGTTTAGTTTATGCGAAAAAATAGTACTTGCACTATGTTACAAAAGAAAAATGATAAAAAAATTACCAAACTGAAGAAATTTCAAGCAAACCTTAAAAAAGGGGGGATATGATAGGCGATAGTGCTTTGTGGGCAAATGAATCTTCATGGAGATTATTCACTGATACTGAGGGTGTGTACAAGCTGAGCCTAGCAAAAACTATTTTACGTGACTTATAATAAATAATGAAACGCTATAGGCGTGATGAGCAATCAAACAAGCTTACTACGATAACCAACATGTTATGGAATACATCAAAAATTATATTGTCAGATTCTTTGTTACTTGATTTGTACCAATTTTTTAACAATGACTTGCTGTTCTTGAAATCTTTTCGAGCTATCTAATTACAAAACATGCAAAATAATATTATATTTTATATACTATTAACAAGCGAATTGACAAAAACATTTTACTTTTGACGCTTTATTGCATTTAGACAGCCAATCTTCTGGCGGATCAGGTGGTGAATATTCTTGATAGACTTGCTGGATAACTCTATCCCAAAGCTGTTTGTCAATAATTTGACCATTATTCTCTGAGTCTTGAATCAAAAAAATATGATTAAGAGCTTTATAATAATTGTGTAAGTGTGTTAGTATCAACATTAAATGCTCAAATTCATTTATAAAGATTAATTCTTACAATATTTCACTCGTCCCTTCAATGCTTTCAACTAATGCCTTTGTGATTGTTGACTGACGAAATTGGAAGAAGATATCCGATATATTGATCCCATCTAATATCCACTGTGTCAATAGAAAAAAAAATAAGTAAATTTAATTCGCAATTCATTGTTATTAACTCTTAAGTTAACTATTCATATCTTTAAATGAAAAAGAATAATTGGAAAAGTATATAATTTCAAAAAATGTACTAAATTACCATAATCAAGGTAAACTACCTTATTTTGAATTTCATCTTTTATGTTTATCTCTCCTAGTCTCACGAACCAAAATAACTTTGGATTTGATTTTTGGTCATTTTCATACTCTTCAGTTCCTTCATCCTCTTCGGTTGTTCCCTCATCTTCACTTTCAAGACGCCAGCTTCCATCACTGGATGGTTCATAATCTGATATTGCATAAAACAGATTATTTCCAGGATCTATGATTATATTGTTCTCTGGCATTTGTGGTTTTTCGGCTTTATCATCTTTTGCTCTTTCGATGGCGGCCGAAATTCATTTAGATCTTCTTCCTCATCATTGATTTTTCTAATGAAATTTTGAATGGTTTTATAAGCTGAAATTCGTCCCACCACTTCATGTGCCGACTGTGAAAGCAAAATCATCAAGTAATTAGCCAGAAGTCTACTATATGGGAACGTTTCCAGTAAAATCAAGTCATGAAGCATAGTAAATCATATGATCTGTAATGTGATTTTACTGGAAACGCTCCCATATAACAACGCTAAAAAATCAAAGCATACCCTGCCAAGTGAGGCTTCTACATTTAACCAATGCAACTCAGTACTGACTGATTGAGTCCACGACTGTTCAAAAAAAAACAAGCAAATTAATCAAGATTCGCAAACAGTTAGCGGTGAAATTTCATTTACCTCGAAAGAATCTAGCAAGAATTTTGCCCTCCTGCAATTGAAAATATTCTTCTCATTTGTGATTAATGTAAGTAGCTTGCGCAATTTTTCTTCAGCATCCTTATGTAAGGTATGTGAGTATTTGAATTTTTTGTAGAATTCTTTTGGTTTAAGGTCATCAAGGTGATCGTGAACCCAAGTTAACATCATAAGTGATTCACAAGATAAAAATACTAGATTTTATTATTTGATTTTTTTTATTTGAAATTTTAATTCCGTAAAAATTCATTATAAACAAGAAAAAGGAAATATTCAAGTCAATATTTTCTTGTGCTAATTTTTTTTGCTTAATTTTTTCGGCTATGAATTTATAAGTCTGTGTGATATTCTTAATGATACGCGTCACTGACAAATAACGCGTTTAGACCAATGTAACCAATTAAACCAATTACATTGAGTCACGTGAGATACCTGATATTTCCTTAATAAAAATTGAGCACGTTTTCGAATTTTCAAATCTTAACTCAATCGCAGATTGTCAGTGTTTTGGTCTGACGACTGGCTGTTGAGACATATTGATTGGTTGCGTGGTGACGCTACTTTGGCGTTTCATTGACAAAGATGGTTTTGGTTAGCACGACTCATTTCTTTGCACCACCTGAGCTCGTCTGTGAGGTGTTTCGACATTTTACCATAGTCGATGGACTTAGGTCTATCGTTGGATAGTTGTATGGCATCGAAAAAGATGGTATGTTCAGCACGGCTCAGCTCACTTCTTTACAATGGCCCGCTGTTCTGCCACTATGCAACGACACTTCAGTTATGTCTTCAGCATCTGGCTGAGCGCAGTCATCACGGCAAGTATATTCAAGCAAATTGTGAACAAAAATTTTATTAATCATTTTTGGAGTAAAAATTGCTGAGAAGTTGGATAAAATGTATGATGCTATCAAAGAGGGAGGGAGTACGCGGATCCTAGGCCATTTCTTTTCCTTGGAAGAGACAATCCCAATAGACTAGAGTCATTGTATTAATTAGTATCTGTTTGCATTGCTAAATCCTTAACTTCTTGATCTGTTAATAATGACTTATCTATCGGATCTAAAATTTATATCATTTTTTTTTTATAAAATAAAGATAAAAATTATATATAGAAAATAGAACTTTGATGATAAAAGGTATTGAAATATGTCATTATGGTTCATATATATAATCCATTTCTACTAGATCAAGAATAAAAAGCTCATCAATTCGAATTGAATCTTCAACTAATACGGGTGATTTCCTAAACTAATCTTCATAACTATAATTGCTAAAATTTCTTTTATATAAGATAATTCAGATTGAGTAACCTGTGTTCCCGGTTTTTATTATTTCAATTTACATATATGGTATTGTTAATGTTAATGCTTTATATAAATTGTTGCTATGCGAAATGTTTTACAATTTTGCTAGTTTGAATAGATGTATTACATAAGATTTTATTAAAGAATTTAGGAAATACCAAACATTGTTATTGCTTTTTGTAACAGGCTTAAGAGAAGATATCCTAATTCCAATATCGAAATCTTATTTAGAGATAAATTAAAAATGACATTTTCCTGTCAGAAAAATATATGTTCGTCACATGATCTAACTACTAATGGCACAACATATTTATTTGCCACGGAGAATTTTCTGTTAATAAACATACATTTCATTCCCCTCCAGTTTAACTGAACACTTTAATTCTTTTGGTTTCATAGGTTATAACCAAATAAATAAATATGACTACCGCTGCTAGACCAACGTTTGATCCTGCTCGTGGTTATGATGGTAAAGCTCCAACTTTACAATATAGCTCTCGAGATCTTGCAGCACATACTCAACTTAAGTATAGGTAAAGATTAAAATTTAAATATTTATAGTGTGTAGTCTATTTCGTTTCACAACCTTTGTTTGCTAATCTATAAATAGACAAACAGGACAGCTCACAACAGAAGAAATTGATAAAATAGATCTCAAAGAAGAACTCTTAAAAGCTGAAAGAGAACACTTTGAGAAACAAAAAGGAGAAGCTTTTCGTGATGGCTCTTTCTCTTTTAATGAAGATCAATTGGCAGAAAAGCGTCGAAGATTATTGATAGAAGCTGCTGTCCTGGATAAAGATGACAGTGACGATGATAGTGATGATGATAGTGATGACAGGTGATTATAATTTTTGAAGCAAAATTTTTATTAAAGTTATTTAACTGAATTAACGTTTATTTTATTTTTGTACAGTGAGGATTTAGATGAGGAAGATGATGCAATAGCTTTACAACTTGAATTAGAGAAGATTAGGAAGGAACGAGCGGAAGAAAAAGAACGACAAGTAAATATTATCGTCTGTTCGGATATTACATTTTTAAAATCATAACCTTATCTCTAATTTTATATTATAAAGGAATTCGATAAGTTAGAAGCAGATGAAAGACAAAGACAAGAAGAGGCATTAGCTGGAAATCCTATTCTTAACAAAGATTTCAGTGTTAAGAGAAGGTATTTTGAAAAAATAATTGATGTTATTTTGCTTTAAATAACCCTTTATTAAATTGACGTTCTTATTTTTTTTCTTTTAGGTGGGATGATGATGTAATATTTAAGAATCAAGCGCGTGGAGTTAATGATAATCCTAAGAAACGATTTATTAATGATACTCTGCGAAGTGATTTCCATCGTAAATTTATGAACAAATACGTGAAATAAGGCATTTTAATTTATTTGCAAATTTTTTTTATTGTACGAATGGTTGAAATTTTGTTTTCCGATGTAATTAGTATATACATTTAAAACATAAAATTTATCTATCTTCTTTAATGATAATTTCAACGACTGTTTTTTATTTCATTATATCATTTAATAAAAAATCATTCTATTTGAATAGATGTTAATGTAATTTTTGCAATTGATAAATTGATAAGGCTTATATTTATTAATTATATTCACATTTTGAATCAATTCCGATTTACAAAAATCCGCTAAACTAAATATACTTAGTTCGTTCCCGTAATTGGGATAATATGTGATTATCAATAATACTACCGGGTATTGTAATGGGGGTACAATATTATAAGCGTTAATTGGAAATAAATACATTTGATAAATTCTTCACTGTATTGTGTCATAATAAAGGGTCATTATACACGGGGTACTATAGAGCGGTAATCCTGCGCCATATTTTGAGTGAAGATCTTTTATAAATATCATCAGCGAATACCGATCAATTTCTAAGTTACCAAAAATTCTCCCAAAAGAAGATAGGTAAGTGTGTCTCATGCAGATTCTTTATCCGCCCAATGTTGCCTCATACGGTTACAGTCTGCTTTTACAGATTGGATCGAATATTTCAGTGAAAGATTATAACACTTTTCTTGACCAAAACGAAAATTGGATATAAGTTTTGTTGGGACAGTGGCAATGTATATATTATTGGTCCAGAACATGAAGCTGAATATTATATATGTTTTGATGAACTGAATAATCGTGTGAAACTTGGCCCTTGGTCAACCATGTAAGAGATTCTTCCTTTTGATCCTATTTTGTTTTTGGCTTGTAATAATATTTCACATTGGTTTCCTATAGATCATTACAAATCATTACAATCCAACGATAAATTTGTGTCAGATCTTACTTTTTGTCATTTTTAGAACCCACAATTCCACATCCTGGTCCACCCCAGTGATGTAAAAGTACTTTGAGTTAATACTTCATTGCATAATTATTTTCAGAACCAATTTCCCAATATTAATAATATATTTACACAAGGTAATCCTCACGCGAGAATAATATGTGAGGTAGCTAACGCTCAAAGCATCGGTTACTTGAATAAATGAGATTTTCCTAAAACAATTACAGGAAGAACTATTCATCAGATAATGGTAATATGTCTCATACGTCTTTTATTTGATTATTTTCATTTATAAAAGATTTTTAATAATAGATCACGTAATTTTTCAGATCATCATAGTTATGCTGCAATAATGACGTGAAAATTTATACGCGTCTGCTAAAAATTATACTTTCAACGCGCACACTTATGGATTTTTACTGTGCAACTACAATCGAGGAGTGGGCATGCGTTAAACTGACAGACATATCATGCGAGTTCAGGTAAAAAAAATGACTTAAAAAGTAAGGGATTATGTAAAAAGGACCTACAAAAAGTAGTCGATTATGAATCTGAATTTGGAGTTATACGCAAAAGAAAGGTTCAAGAGATCCTCGACAATTGGAAGGTATGATTATTAGTAGGATAGATATTAAACGGCTTAAGAAATTGGTTTGAACAGTGATGAACTGTTGATTCTAGCGCAAGCTGGGACTTTTGGTCTAACAAGGATAGCTCTTAATTCAATAATTCTTTTTCTCTATATTGTTGTGAATTGCTTCTTAAAGATATTTCTAATTATTTATTTATATTGTTAAGAACTGGATTGCATCGATGAATAATTAGAAAAAAGATTATGCACACGTTAATGTTGAGAATCTGCGAATAAAGCAAGTAAACCAACTTGCAACCGGAGATATCGCAATATTGAAGGAGCTACAACACTGGCAAAAAGGTGTGATCATTGTAACATATACCTAAGTTCGTAATCCATAGAATGTAACACATTCTTAGATGATGAAGAATTTAAAGTTCTTGTTAATAGATATAAAAATCAGAACCAATTATTTTTCATTTTAATATTTTATGATGAGCATGATCTCCCTTAAAAAGATGATTTTTTCCTGTGTGTAATGTCACTCTATTTAAGGACATGAAAAATGGCTTTCATACGAATGATGAAGACGTGAAATCAATTCCATTGAGTCCTTCACAAGATTACTATATAAAAGATCCAGAATTTTTTGACAAACTTGTAGATGATCTTATATTGGAGGCGAAGAAGAACCTATACCATGTTCAAGTCTGAAATTCCAATAGAAAAGAGTTATGACTCATTTATGAATGATTGAATTAATGATTTACTTTTATTAAATAAGCTCAGCAAGCATTGCTTGTACTTAATGCCCATCTAATAATATTTGAATTTTATCTTGAACACCTTAAACTACCACTTAATGGGAGAAACTTATGATCTGTTTTGTAACACCTAATTTTAATATTCAAATTAAGAAAAATTTTGAATATGCTGGTAATTTTAAAAGGCATCTTATCATATTCTTATCTATTTTATTAATTTCATTCTTAATATTTATTTTTGGATCTTCAGGTCTGAACAATAATTAATAGCAAGTTAAGAATGTCGCTAAGGTTGTTAGACGAAATCAAGAGTTTAGACAGACGTTTAAATGGTAAAAGTAAAACTTGGTTAAATTATATTAAAACCTTATTAAAAAATCTGCGAAATTTGGAAAAAGGTAAAACTATATTAAAGCTTATAAAAATGGCGAAACTATATTAAACACTTAGTAAAAATTTAGCAAAATTAAAGGTTTAACCATTTTGCTAAATCCAAAATGAGTTTAGACAAGCAACCTTAAATGTCGCAGAGAGGACCAAGTCCTCAATAATGAATGTGCACTTATAGGACCAAAATCTGATATTATAATTCTTTTTCCAATAGAATCAGCTTTGGAAGGTTTAATATTACGTTCTCTGAAGGTTTGTTTTTTAACTCCCTTACCAATGTATGTATTTCACCATGCTTATCAAATTTATTTTCACACCATTTAAGCAAGTTTACGGATTATTGCACAGATCTTAAAGTTAAACATATAAAGTTGGGATGAAAATGTGATTACAGTCGACCCTTTCTATAGTCATCCCTATACAATCACATCATATAAATCTTCAGTTATAAACACACCTTCATAAAAACTAGTTCTATTAACACTATATTAACACTATATAAAAACCCTTCTATAGTTACAATGTTTTTATTATTACATTCGTTTACATAGTTCAGAGAAAAGTAAAAAGCTTGAGCATTTAAAAATTATTTAAGATTTTGGTTACATTAGAACTTAAAAAATTTAACTTTTAAAAATCATTTGATGTAGTAAATAAATATGCAACTAAAAAATTTATATTTATTACTTAAAAAAAATAAGAATATATAGTTAAAAATTTTCACTTATCTACTTATAGATAGATTCATTTATGTATATCTTAATTAGCTTAAAAATCTTAAATAACATAACTAGTTAATTCTTATAAATTTTATACATAAGACTAATATCAAAATTTATAAATGCTAAGATTTTGAGACTTACTTTTTCATAAGTAATGAAATTAGTAATATAGTAAAGATGAGGGACAAAACTCAAAAAGGCAATTAATAAACAGCTGAAACTATATTAAAATATAGTGAGGGGTATGACGAAACCTGAAACCTGAAATTAGCTGAAATTATATTAAAAACATAGTAAGGGATATGACAAAATTTTTTTGAGGGAGTTTCAGCTGGCATCTTTAATCCAGATATAGATTTATCTGATAATAATGAATAAAACAGATAAAGAACTTTATTTTATTTATTTATTACCATCTGAATTTATTATATTTATCATTTATCGACATGTTAATCTTCTTTTCAATTGAAAATAAAGAACTACGTCACTTGTTGTTAGCATTATTTAAACCTAAATTTAAAATCATATAACATACTATTTACTTAATGAAAAACCTCCAACTAAGTGCCAATTATTTTTATAAAAAACAAAAATTTCTAACATATTTGATCCAATTGTATTCTTTTTATAGATGTTACATTACTAGCCTCACTAAAAAGTCTCTCACTCAGAGTTAAGGTAGCGGGATTGCTAAGTATTTTTTTGCTAATTTTGATAGTACTGGAAATCAAGCTGAGTTATTTTTTCACCAAAGTAAAGAACATTCGTCAAAATAAATCTTAGGCAAAACCAAATAATCGTCACTTCATCAATATGAATGGAATCATTCCAGAACATTCTTGTTAACAAAGAATTTGATGAAATAGGTCTGAATTCAATTTCCTGATTTTTTTCAGTTAAGTTTTTCATACTTTGATAAACAACCTTTAATTTTTCACGAGTTGTATTATGCAATGATTCAAATGCAAACTCCAATTCTTTGAATTGTAGATCTAATAAAACAGCTAACATTCTCTATTCTTGTGAAACTTTTCAATAATGATTAATGGATTAATACAATGCTGCTTTAATGTGATTTTCAAGATTCATATAATTTTGTAATATATTTATACAGGTTTTTTTATTTTTAGGTTATTCAGTAGTAGTCTTATCCTATAATGTATCTTTATAACTAATATTATCAAAGGCTATATTTTGATTAGTAAAATCTACAACTTCCATATCATTAGAATTATCAAATATCAATTTATAGCTAATTATTGTTAAAACAATATACATTAGGCTAATAGTTGTATATGTACTTCTGCCTAAATATTCAGTCGCTTCAGCAAAATCTTCCAAAATGATTATTAGGTTATTTATATTAATTTCTATTCATCTTCTGTTAGATTTATTTGTTTTAATAATTTTCTATCTCATCACATTGAAGGATCAGGATCAATTATTATAGTAGATGCTAAAATATCAATAAGATCTTTGACTTTTATTAGATATTTTCATATAAAATAACTGAAATTTCATCAGATCTCTATGTTAGCAATCATTTGAAAATCCTTATCATTTTTTTCTAAATTTTGTAATGAAAATATAATATATTAATAAAAATTTTTATATATTATTAAACATTTTATTTTTTTTTATTATTGTAAAAAAATAAAATAACATTAAATATTAAATATTAAATAAAATATATTTAATAATTAAATTAAATATATCATCACCGCTATTAATTAAACTCTATATTAATATAAATAAAATACTATATACAATTATTTAAATAGAACACTATATACAATTAATATATTAATAATTAATTAATTAAATAAATGCATTTTTTTAATAAATTACCTCATTATTAATATAATAAATTTTTTGGATTTCTATTAATTTTTCAGTCTGTTTTGGTGTTGCAAAAAAATTTAATTAATCTTTTAACCTTTGCAATTAAAGCTTTAGCTGAAAGCAATTCTTTTCCTACAACCAATTATAAAGTATATGCAGTGCAAAGAAGCCTTATAATTTCATCTATTAGTCTTCCAGCTCAAACTATTAGAACTATTATCAGTGGTTATTGTAAAAATCTTGCCAATTAAATTTTAATCAGAAATAATTTTGAGTAATATATTACAAATATAATCACTAATGTGAGGATAAGATATATATTTAACTGCTAAAATTACTTCACAAAAATTGAAATCATTATCAATAAAAGAATATGTAACACTAATATATATATTTTGACTTCAAGCTATCTATAAATCTGTTATTATAAAATAAAAAATAACATGTTTAAGATTTGTTATTAAGACTTCTTTAATTTAATTATATGATTTAGCTAATAGTTATTGAATTACTTTATTGCATAGAATTTGATAATTTGGATCAAATTTAGAATAAATTCAGTTAATTCTTCATCATTACATATACTAATTAGTCGATTATCTTTAATTAAGATTGCAATAAACTTTCAGTTCTTATGATTTTTAATTTCTGGATTATTCATAATAATTGCTCACATCATTTTATCTATACAAGGTATTGATAAATAGTTTTCATTCATATTTCTTTTGTGACTTTCTTAAATAATCTGATATATAGCAAGATGAAGAATAAAATTGCCAGTAGAACCATCATTTCTTATAAAATGATTGCATGATTTTATGCCATTTTTCTGCTAAACCTGAGCCAAACATTTCACAATTCATTTGTATTGTGTAAATGGTTTATATTGATCAAAATATCATCATATCCAACTTAGTCCTGATGGTTTGGCATTTGGAATCAAAATTAGTTGGTTGGTTATTTATTTAAGTCAATTTTTTTTTGAAAGTTTGTATAAGTTTTTTGCTGATTATTTGTATCAGTATCTGAATTTAATTTAATTACAGGTGTATTTGAATTTTGTTTTTGCAATTTTAATACTTATATACATTTTCCTTGGTTTTTTTGACCAATTTATTCCAGAATCTAAGACTTTATAGTCTTCTTATAGTATTATAATACTATTACTAGACATTATTAATAGAAAAAAATTATGTAAAATAATATTACTTTTTTTCAGTTAGTATATTTTATACATAAATCAGTGATTAGGATCGATTATACAAATCACGTTCAAATAATGAGATATCTGCAAATATTCCATAGGTAATCTGTATATCTGTAATTTAATATCCGCTATATAAATTAGTGATGGTAAATTATAAGGTTTTTTGACTTGAAATATATAATAACAATAAGATTATTTGAGGTCATTTGAGATCATTTCAAGGTCATTTCAAAGTCTTTTACCAACCCTAATATAAATTACTTATCTGAATATCTGAATATCTGCATAGATATTCAGATAATATAATCATAGATAAAACCACTACATTACATGTATAATCTACTTTACAAAATCAAGCTATTAAAATAGCAATATCTCTACTTCAATTATAGAGTAGAAGTAATCTTTTTAGTTTAAATTATTTATACTAGTGTGTAAAATCTATATATACAATATACACATGTGTACATTAATTTTTTGTGTATATATATTACACAATATAAAATATGCACAAATTATTACTAAAAATAGATAAATTATGTACAAAAAGGAAAATTTACATAAGAAATTATTATCAATTTCTTATTTTAGTAATAATTAATAAAATTATAAACTTATGCATATAAATTTTCACTTAGATTTTATACACTGATTTATATACTATGACATATAAAAATTAGTTTATGATTATAAAATATATCAGACTAAAATCTTGAATTATTATTTCTTGTAAAGAACCAAATGAAAATAATGAAAAAATAGATATTTCTTCATTTCTATCTTTTTAGAAGTAGTTAAAAATGATTATCAAAGTTGTGATTCACAATTATATACTATATTAAACAAATTTGCAATGTGTTATAATATAATAAAATCAACATCTATCTTCTGATTCTTTTCATTTTTTATAATCTTAATCATAATTTGGATTTAATGATTTGTATCAAGAGTGATGCATATAGATTTAAGTAGAATCAGTCAAATAATATAAAATAGAAGAAGATAGTACTAAACAATAATTACCTATTTTTATACATTATGGAAAAGAAAATATAGATTCTCAGGTAATTCTTGTCTGAAAAAAAAAAGGAAAAAAAAATATAATTTAAATAAATATGTATCGAAAAGTATATTTTTATATTTATTTATTTGATATTTATATCATATTAATAGCATTTATGACAAATTGTTAATGTTTTATTTTTATTTTATAGAAATTTAAAATTAACCATTTTTTTTAACTTTGTGAAAATATTATTAATTTGGATTCTTTAACTATCATAATACAAACCTTTTAAACTATAATTAATTAAAAGAAGATTTTTTTATTAGATAATTAAATATTATTATTGTTATTTTTTAATATTTTATTAATTCTTTATGCATTTGATTAAAAATTCTTTATTTTTATTTATATATGTATAATTTTAATAATCTTTTTTGGTAGTTTTAAAAAAAATTATACATGAACAATAAATAAGATGGGTTTTGCAAAAAAATAGATTATTTTGAATTATTTTAATGTAATTTCATATATCTGAAATTTATTGTAAATTTTTTTTTTAAGTTTAACAAAACAATAAATAAATTGTATTTTCTGATTAATTGTTAATTTTGCTGACTGTTTTCTAGCATAGTCAGATCAATTGGTGATTTTAGTTAGCTGTGCCTAGAGATAGGAGTTAATTAACTGTTATTTATATTAATTAACATTGGTTTATTAATTGTTATTTATAATTAACTAATCAAATTCTTTTATATAATATAATTTATGATTAACTATAATTAATATAGTTAGAAATAAAAATTATCATTTATATTTATTTTTATTTTTGATTTTATATAAATGTATTTATCAATCTTTTTTTTTACATTTTTTTTTTACATTATAGTAAAAAGAAAAGGAGCAGTTTGAAAGTATTAAATAATTATTAATGAAAATAATAATACAATATATTCATCTATCTGATATAATTATTGCTCTAAAACTTTTAATCATAGTATTTCTAGTAGAATGCAAACTCACCTTGATAATATTTGTCTTAGTATCCCAAATAATATAAAAATAAAATCTAAACTAACTTTAGAATCTTTTAATTTACTCAATTACCAACTATTTCTACTCCTATTCCATTGTAAATACCCAAATTAAACGATTTAAAATTATAAAAATTGATTATATATAAGTAAAGAATAATAAAATAATCTTGAAATATTATTGATTCATGCATTATTTGCAGCAGCTAGAATTTCATTTACTTTTTTTTGAAAATGATTATATTATTCAATTTTTTCAACAAATGTATCTTACATTTAAATTATTTAATTAAAAAAAACTTGCTAATGAATTACTTGATAAAATTTTTGATGAAATTAAAGTTAAATGTGATAATTAAATTTCAAAAAGCTAAATCACTTATAATAGTTTCAGATAAGGATGCTGGACGAAATCAAGAGTTTAGACAGTTGTCTAAATGGTAAAAGTAAAACTTGGTTAAATTATATTAAAACCTTATTAAAAAATCTACGAAATTTGAAAAAAGGTAAAACTATATCAAAGCTTATAAAAATGGCGAAACTATATCAAACACTTAGTAAAAATTTAGCGAAACTAAAGTTTTACCATTTTGCCAAATCCCAAATGAGTTTAGACAAGCAACCTTAGTTTCAGATGATTGATCTAATATAAATAAAGAAACAGTTCAAATTTTTATTATTTGTATCTTAAAATCATTATATTGATACAATTTATTCTAGTGAAAAAAGTCATATGACTAAATGAATTGCAAATTCAAATTATATAACAAATAAATATTATTGATATTAATAAATTTTTAGTAGTAATTACAGATACTACAAATATAATGAAAGCAACTTAGCGAATTATTGAAGAAAATCATCCAAATATTATTTGTCTTGGATGTAATTCTCATGTAATTAATCTTTTAATTAGTGATATTTAAAAATTTAATCAAATTAAATTTGTTATTAAAAATGCAAAAAATTTACTTAATTATTTTAAGGTACATATATAAGCAGCAGCCAAATTAAAGCATATTCAAAGAGAAAATTATAATAAAAAAATTGCATTGGTTTTACCAGCACTTATACAATGAGGTACACATTTTGCTTGCATTCAATCATTTCAAAAATCAAAAACAGCATGTGAATAAGCATTAATGGATTTAATTATTTGTGAAAAAATGGATTTTATTTTGAGAAATTATATATTATCAGATAGATTTTGAAAAGAATTAAATATAGCAATAAAATTATGAACCAATCATTATAATATTAAAGTTATTTAAATCAGTTACTTCAACTTTATTAACAGTTTATTTAAAAATTAAAAATTTAATGAATCAAATGAATTAAATAGATTGTGAGTTTTCTGATAAACTCAAAGAACTTGTTATAAATTGATGGAAATATACATATCATACAGCTATGTTTGTAGCTTATATGTTAGATCCACAATTTTAGAAGAAAGTAATAATAGAATTGAATTTACTTGTTATGCAGTATTTACAAAATATACAAGTGAAAAATTTAGTGAAAAAGAATCTGTTAATTTTCATGGTAAATACTCTCCTTATAATAATGAAATTATTTAGAAATCTACTAATTCTCTTAATTAAGAAATTTCTCCACTTTTGGTTTCATTCATAATAAAATTCGTAATAAATTACAAAATATACGTGTTAAAAATTAGTTTATATTTATGGGAATCTTCGAATTTATAAAGGCCCTTTAAAAATTACAAAAAAAAAAATTTAGCATTAGTAATTAGTGATAATAGTGAAAATGAAGGAAATAATGATAAATGTGATTCTGATGAAAGTAATCATGATTTTGAATATAATGTAATAAATTTAGATGAAGAATAATATTCAATAAAAATTTTTATTCCGAAATTTTATAAAAAAAATATATACTGTATATGTTAATTAACGGTTAATTAACAAATCATAAATACCATCCACATTCTTTAAATATAATCGGTGTAACCTGACACAGCATCATTACGTAATCAAATTGATTATAAAGTGGTTTTTTTATGTAGAACTAATTCTCGTATATCTAATAAATAAAAATTATTTTACAAAAAACTAATTTACATTTATTGTAAATTTTACAAATATTTATCATTAGAAACATAAACTATTATTAAATACATCACTAAGCAAAAATAATCGAAACAACAATTGTGGCAATTATTATCAACACAATTAATAACCAACCAATTAATGTCCATTTTTTCTGAAATGATGAAATTTATTAAAAACATTTTTAATCTCCAAAAGCGTAAATAGTACAAAAAAAAAGAGGGAAAATTTATCAAATATAGCCGTAAGAGAAACAATTGTAAGACTCACCCTTCTTATTCTCTCTAATCTTCCAACTGTTGGTTTATCTTGCCTTCCTTGTTCGGGAATCACAATGGTGATTTCGGCTGCTTCCGCAACACTTTGTATTGGATCATCCTGTTGTTCTATTACCAATGCTTGAACTTCACTAAAAATTTTATTAAGTTCCTGTTATCAAATATATTAACAATTAGGAATCGTTAAGATAAACAACAAGTGAGGATAAAACACAAAATATAATCATACGTTAATTGATCTTTCGATCTTTAGAATGTCTCTTTGTCGATCTTGAATTTCTTTAAGAACAGAACGCGATCGTTCTACTGATGTTGTTAATAGCGCCTAAATTATAATTCATAAGAAATCAAAGAACTCATCAGAAGAATTTCCAGGAGATTCGAGAAATGATTACCAAAACGAAGAACGAACCTGGGATGCGAATGTTTGCCCAGTTTTTTCACTTATCAACTGATCAATGTCTTGTTGTGTGGCATCAGGTTTCACTATTAAAAACAAACGTGAATATTGTCTTCTTATCATTTATTATCACATGTTTCGTCGTTATTGTCGCTCACCTATACGATATTGCCTTTCAATCCTCTTCTTGTACCTTTTCTCATTATCCAATTGCATTTGGCGATATGCCGTCATCGTATCAATAAACGTTTTAACTAACGTCGCGTGCTTTTTTTTTATAAAAAGGGTGCGATAAAAATTAGAATAATGAAAATATTTAAAATACATTCAACTGTGTCAAAGTAATTAAAAATACCTGCGCTAAGCGTATTTGCGTTTGATCTTGTACATTTGTTACCATCTTATTATTTTGTTCCATCACTGAAAAGGTTGGGTATCATCAAGTTTATGTATTTGCGCATGTATAAAGTTATTGGAGTCATGAAATTTCTCTTACTCGCTAATTTATTGCTTATTTGACCTGCTACACGAATTGTTTCTGATATTAGCAAATCCAGTTGCCGAGACATCCCTATTATTAAAAAAAAAAGTTTAGAAAGAAATCTATTAGATTTTTGTAAATGACAACATTATAAATATGTAATATATATATATATATATATAAAAACGATAAGACGGGATAAACAAGAAATTGGGAACGGTGCTCAACGAGAACTTTCATCATTCGTTACAGTAACCAAGGTTCTCTTGTGTAAATCTTCAATTCCTGACGTATTCTCTTTAATATTCCGAATCATTTCTAGAATAGCATTTACCTGATAAAAAAAGATTTAAATTCGGCGATCAATATAACAATGTGAATACAAGAAACTGTCATAAATTATGAAAAATTAATACTTGCCTCTTTAAAAAATTCGCCAAGGCTTTGACCGCCACCGGTGCTTGGGCCAGCTTGGCTCTCACATTCAATAACTCCCATTTCAATTAGCACTTCGTCGTGCGAAACTTGGGAAAGCGTTTCAGCATTTTTCTGCTGTAAAAAAAAAAGAATAAAGATAAAATAAAATAAAATGAATTAAATTTAACGTTCAAACTAAAGTAAATCAATTAAATGATCAGTGATAAATTAATTACTCACCCAAAATTCGGACCTACTGTCTCGACTCATTGTGGTTAAGAATGGTACAAAGAAAGAACTAGAGGATGAATAAATTTTTGAGGAACCTGTCAAGGAATGAAATAGAAGACCAGCCTGCAATTTCTCCAAGAATACTTCAAACGGCACATGCAACTTTACTGTATTGGTGTACCTAAGATTTTTTTATATTTCTATATTAGCTCGTATTTGATATTCACAATATGTTGTACCACAATGATGCAACTCGTTGTCTCACACGAGGTATTATACATGCACGAAAATCTGAAATCCGAACTGTCGGGGTAAATTTTGTCCTTTGTCGACTGTTTCTGGAAATCCGATCTCGTTTCAAAACAGAGATTTCAAATTCCAAAATCAGAAAATGCGTTTTAACAATCGATTTAACCTCGGTGATTAACTCTCTCCACATGATTTCGCTTGCATGTTAGGAAAAAAGAACCTGCCTTCGTAAGTTAGATCAACCCCATACATATAAATTTCATAATCCAAGCACGAGATTGAGGGACAAATATTTTTATCGTGACGCAGTAAATTAAATCACAATGGTACCTATTATACTCCTTGAAAATCCTTCCAAATCAGGAATTCTATTGTAAAAAAAAAATATAAAACATGTTCATTGTTTGACTACTTGGTTATTGTTCTTTTTTGTGTTACAGTAAAATATTCGAAGGAAAAATTTTATTGATTCTTAAGATGTCGAATAATTTTCCTCTTAAAAGAAGGAACAATATAAAAACGTATTCATGAATTTTAATATCGCGCCATTCTTTTGAGCTTACAATTTTAATTTTTGAGTTAATTTCATTTTTATATTTTAATAGAGTGATGTATATTATATTGTCTCCTTTATATTGTACTTAATTGAGAATTAAATGATATCAGGCATGAAGGATAATGAATTTCATATTCCTCAAGGCAAAAGAATTATTTTCTTTTAAATGATTTATTCTAATATAAGAAAATGAGAAAATGGACCATCAATTATAATACAAACCACCAGTTGCGGAGATTGTGATATCATTTGAGCGTCATGGTGACTTTTGTGTCGGAGTTTTAGATGCAAAAAAAATAAAACCTTTAATCCTCGGAAATGGCAATAAAGCATGTATTAGAAAACATCACATGCTTCAGGACACAGCAAAATTCCGAGGAACATCTCGCATTGCATATCATTCATTTCCCAATTCCCATACTTGAAACAATAATTTGAGTTTTATTCTAAGAAAACCAGGTTCTGAGAAATGTTTGACTAAAATGATTTTAGAACTCTGCAAATAGTCTTCAAAGTTATAATTATTGAACCAAAATTAATCTCTTATTACATTTTATTTTAAATGTAATAAAAATTAAAATGCAATTAAAATCTCAATTTTGATAAAAAAAATCTCATAACTTGATTTTCTTATCACAACCCTTATGATCCCGTAATATGAACGCCTTGTCTCCTAAATTTAAGTAGGAATGGAATCTATGTGGATTCTGAATCCACTCAGGTGGATACGAAACATTGGCCAGAATTAAAGATTGATGTGAGGAAGTGTTGGGTTCGGCCAATATCCAGTATCCACTGGTCTCCAGAATCGACAAGCAACTTATTTATAATGTGAGTATGTGTTAATTACACTATCCGGGTAATTTACAAATTTAGGGCGGTTTGAAAACGGATAGTTAGGTCAATGCTCCACGGTAACTTTTGAGAGAGACTTTATCAGTAAATATGTTTTTGGCTTGCCACACTTTTTTTGTCTATTTGTTATGTTCATAAAAGTTCGCGTATTTAGTTATTCCCGATATTTGTGAGTCAATTGAAAATGAATATCTTAAAGAAATAGGGAAGTATCACTTTTTTTTTTAAAAAAAAAAAAAGTGTAAAGAAAAGACGCGAGTTTCATCTTTTTATACAAAAGATCTGGCCAATCAAATCAAATCAATAATTTACATTATTGGTCAAATCGCTACAATTACTACAAATAATAATAGCATTGTAAATATTTAAAAAATAAGCATATAATATTTTTATTATTAAATAATATATAAGCGCTTTTGAATAATAAAATTATTAATCCAAATGTATCATAATACTGGATTATTATTTTTAAAATTAATAATATTTAAATAATTTAATTTATTATATTATTAGAATTATATTATATTATAATACTAAAAAAAGGTAAATAAAATTTTAATAAAAATTAAATTTGTTATTATATAATGAAAATTTTGAAAAAAAAAATATATAATTACATTAAATCAATTAAATCAAATCAAACGTTTTTATTAATTGAAATCATATTAAAATATTAGCTATAAATGGATTATAAAATAAATAAATAATATATATATTATTTTATTTTATAAATATAATTAATTAAATAAAATTTTGAATTTTAATATTTATTATTAACATTAACAGTCAAATAAAATGTCATTATTTGTAAAGGTCTAATTGTTGCTTATAATATTGTCGATCATTTTTTGTCGATTATTTATATAAAAAAAATAAAAAACATAATCACTTCTATCTTGATTTGTTAATAATTATATTTAATAACAATATTATTATAATTATAAATATTCTCTGATATTTATAAAATTTAAATTAATTATTTTTTTAACATTAAGTTGTGATTTCAAACTTTCAACTTAATAAAATTACAATCAATACGAACTTATACAAGGGTTGTTATTTTTAATTTTTTGGCAGCATTAAATTAAAGATCTGTATAAATCAGCCTAATTTAATTTCTTAATATTGTTTAATCATTTTTTAGTGACTTATAATTCAATTTTATCATAAAAGAAAATTATTTTAAATTTTATTAGTTGAAGATTTTACCAACATTTGAAAATATAGGGTTTTTGGAGTGATTCATGTAAATAAAATTGTAATTAAGCATTATCTGTATAATGTGATTACATAAGCATTATGATTGCATCACTATAACCATTGTAAATGTATGTAAAAAATTGTGAACATGCTACAATGCAAATAATGCTATTAAACGCTATTATTAATTTTAAGAAAAATTACTAATTGATATTTAGCAGTGATATGCATTTGGAAGATTAGAAGCACCATTAGAAGCACCTTTGAAAGGTTTGGAAGCACAATTTATTAATAAAATTATTTGGATTGGAATCTTCCAATCAAATTTTTTACCATTGGAAGCATAGAATGCATATCACTGTATTTAGCGTAATCATTTTGTGACGTAACTTTACAAATTCTTTTCAGATCAATTCAATTCATTGGATTCGAATGGTCTAATTTCAATTAGTTTTACCAATTATATTATTATTATAATAAAAAGTTAAAAATATTTATAATTTATAATACATTATCAAAATTTTTTTTTTTCAATTAAACTATAAAATTTAAACTTTTAACAAGAATACAATTAATTAATAAAGGTTCTAATCTACAAAATTAAATTATTTTTTGACTAAATTAAATTTCATTTTAAAAATAACATATGAATGCAAATGATATGAATAAAAAATACAATGCAATCAATGCAATCAACTCTATCAAACACCATTATTAATTATAAAGAAAAATTACTAATTTATGTTAGCGTAATCATCTTTTAACAAGAAATCCAATTAATTAAAAACATGTTTTATATGATCTGCAAAATCAAATTATTTAAAATTTTTTTACTTTTTAAAATAATATGTATAAGGCAAATGAGTTGAGTATACAGGTCGCTTAAATAAATGCTAAGGCCTTATGACTTACGATAAAGTTGATTCTCTTCTACTGGATCCTAAGCCTTGACAACATTATCATTGTCATAAAAATTGATTATTTGTAAATAACAGAAATGATTTCAGGAACGTTTGGTTGAAGTATAGGTGAAATAATCTGTTCTAAATCTTCGCCTTCATAGGTAGCTATTCATTCTCACAATTCTGCTTATTGCCATAAAAATCAATGCCTATCCACTACTAGGATTCCATAATTCGATTTGATTTTTGCATATTTGATTTGATTCAATCAAATTCAAATCAAAGAATGATTTATTTGATCAAATCCAAATTAATGTTTGATTCAAT